GCTGACTAAGTGACATATGCACGCGCTTCGGAATCTTATGTGGCAACTGGCAACATTCATGCTTTGAAACTAAGTTTGGATAGAAATTAATTTTGTTTTTCTAAGGAAACCAAATAACTTATAAACTATTTTACATTTCTTTGGCGATTACCAAAAACTATTTTAGTTTTCCTTTTCACAAATTACCCTATAATACGTTTCCTTTCTTATTTAATTCATATATTAATTACTAAAAATATGAAATCTTATCTGTAAAAGTTTATAGACTTCATATTTGCTTTTTTTTTTTTAAATGTATGATATACAAAATTAATCATCTTTTAATAATCATCAATTTGACATCCATATTGCAACATAAGTTGTAAAACAATTTCATCTATTTATGTAGATAAAACTAGATTATTTATCATACCAAATTGAAAAATATCAAATAACATTATAATTACTTTATAAAATAATAAAAATTTAACTCTTTAATACACCATAAACTAATTGTTTTAGCGTATTTTTTCCACAGATTTTGGGGAAAAAGTGAAATTAAATATTTATATCTATATCTATATCTATATAAAGAGGTTGTTGGAAAAATACATTAATTGAAAGTCTGACCAAATAAATATAATGTTTGACTTACTATTAATGAAAATTTTAAAAAAATACATGTGAATCATTAGTAACAAAATCTAAATCCTATTTTTTTGGTAACAAATTTGGAGATTCTTATGGCAAAATTTGAATCTCATTTTTTTCATATCATATTTTATTTTTTTTAACCAAAATTTAAGTCATATTTTTTGGTAACAAATTTGGAGATTCTTATGCAAAAAATGTGTCAATTATTTATGAAAACAATTCAAAATACAAATTAATTTAATAACCGTGCAAATTGGATACAAATTTAGGAAGCAAATAGTTGTATAGTTCTTAACCAATTCTTCCAATCTTATTTAATAATTTTTTCTTTAAAAAAAAATTGTGTAAATTGGATAAAACCACGTGCAATTTTTATTTTGAAATAAAACCGATATTTGTACGGGATGTACATTAAAAATTGTGTCCACATTTTTTGGTAACAAAAGCGATTCATCATTAATATTTAAAGTCACCTTATCCAATTATTTAGGAAAAATTGTGCGCAACTTTTCAAAATTTAAATGCATCGATTTTTTTGGATTCTTATGTTTTTTCTTAACCATGTTTCATAAAATTTAAATGCATCAATTTTTTTTTTTTTTTTTGGTTAAGTTCATATCATCTTATTTAGAAAAGAGACAATTGCATAAACATTAACAATTTATTTTAATTTTCTATTAGAATTATTTCAATTCAATTTGTTTGGTACAAAAATCGATGCAATTTTAGGAAAATTCAGTTGCATTTTTAGGAAAAATTGATGATCATTTTATTTGGTTTAAAAAAAATGTTTGGACAATTTATTTGATAAAAAAATAGATTTATTGGTAGGAAAATTGGTTTCATTTCCATGAGTAACTAATGATTCTTTTCAGCTTTTCTTAATTGAAATTTAGTTTTAGATTTAAAATAAAAAATGAGTGAAAATCCCTAAAAAATCTATTTTTTTTTTCTATTTTAATTTTGTTTAATAAAAAAGATCCTTTAATTCTTTTAGAATTGTTAACTAATAACTAATAATATGCAATTTTGGATAAATTCGAACACCTATGTAGTACTTTACGTGCCAAAGAATCAAATCAATTATGTTGTACATAACGAGTGTTTAATAACATATAAATTTCATTTTCATAAAATTTTTAATGGCATGAGACAACTTGAATACAAAAATACCTTTTAAGAAATAAATAGATAATAAATGCTCCCGTGCATCGCACGAGTACCGTACTAGTTTCATAAAATAAATATTCAAAAATAGTACTTCTCGACTTAGATAAAGAATTGATTGTTATTATCTGTTCTAATTAAAAATAATGAAAATAATTTTTATATTTCATAAAGTTAAAAGATATTAAATTTATATGCATTAATTTATATTTTGAATATATGAATTTGAAATATTTAAAAATTAAGAAACTAGAGAAACCGGCTCTACAAGCATAAATTACAATCACAATACAATAAGACTTGATTTAAAAAAAAAAAAAAAAATGAATCAAATTTAGGAAGATGTAAATATTTATTTAGGAATATATAACTTTATAAATATAATTAAAAATTGCCAATTTTGACAAATTATCAATGCAGCTATCACACTGAAAGCAATATAGGAGCATATGCGTAATGTTAGAAGATTTGTGCGTGACATTCAAGTGTCAAGGTAAGTCATCATTTGCCCATGAACTTAACTCTTAAAAAATGGGAAAAATAAAACAACAGCAGACAACATGATAATTGATAAAGCAAAATCTGGAAATTTGGAATTTAACATGGACAGTACTGCTGTATAAAAAGTATGAAGTGTAATATAGCTGATGCATTCTTAAAAGCAAGTGAATGAATATACCCTGTAATGCTTGCCATCTATATATCTTGTTGCCCCCCTAGAGAGCCTATAGCGGATACAATGCTTTGGATCCAATCTTTCGACAACAGGATCAACATACTGTAAGTTCATAGATAGGAATTAATTAAATCAAAGATATAAAAACTGATTGAACTATGAGATTTGAAGGCAACAGCTCTCGTTTTTATAGGAGCAGACTCACCATATTTAGTTGGTCAGAGTATACTACAATCTCATAAAATTGAGCTAAATGCTCGAGGAAAGCATCTATACCGGGTCTTTTGAACGTTCTCCACCCTCTGTCACGCTTTAAATTGATGAATGGGAAAGAAAACAGTAAGTTAGACTTGGCCAACCTGACTTGCACAATATCAGAGCACGAAAAGAAAATTGACGAAAAAAAAAAAAAAAAGACAAGACACACAAAAACACACACAAGGGCGATGGATACCATTCTAATAAATAAAAGACACACTCTAATCATCAACCGATGAAAGAATTAACTTATTATGTATGAGAACTAGGACATAATCAGAATTGGGCCTGATATTTTATACCTTCCAATCAGAATATATCAATGTTTCATTTAGATCAAGAACAAGGGTAAAAACATGCTGCTCCATAGGGTGCAAATCTGGAAGGAGCTTCTCTGATGTGGGTTCAGTAAAACCCTGAAATGGATTAAGAAGTTTAAAAAAATGCCATAATAAACAAATGCTAAAAGTGATGCATACTATATTTCACAGCATTAACTTGTCAGACAATAATTCTGACAAGTGAAGCTCACCTTAACTTGTTCTTCCGCTAACCTCCTTAAATCGAGGTATGCTTCAACTAATTTAGCAGGCACTGAAACATATTAACACGAAGAAAACAAGCAATGAAATATAAGATTAATTTAGTGTCATGGGCAATCTGAAAAGTAACCGTATATGATTAGAGATAAAAAAAAATGTTTATCTAATTAATTGATAGAAATAACACGACGAGAAAATTTTCACCTGTCATTGCAGCTGCACGTAGATAAGCACTAAATTTCTGCAGACAATTAGAGATTCCAAGCAGTTAGCTCAAGCATCATACCCATATATTGGTGATTGAAGGACAATTCCATAAACATATCCGTTTTCCGTACAATACACGTTACCCACACAGTTATTTCTTAGGGAATAGCATGTTTTCTAGACTTGATTAATATTCTATTGTAGCACATGGAATCATAGGGCTCCTATGTTCTTCCTGATATCCTACAAAACCCATATGTCAACGAACCTGGTTTTACATGCTGACACTTTATGCAAGCTCTTGCACCCAATTTTTGCTCTGCCAGACCATCTTACCACATTTCTAAACTCTTCAAATTGTAGAATATAATGAGATCAAGAGCCATTCTGTGAGGACCAAATACATCCCGGGGTTTCAGCAACCAACTTTTTTATCATGAAGGTACTATGGTATGGAACCGAACATATTGTTGACAACTTTGCAGAGTGCCAGTGTATGATACTATGATTTACTTCCTCAAACTTGAGGACAGGATTGAAGGTGTTTGAGTAAGTACGAGCTTTATATAGTAATCAAATGAATGCAACACATATACAAAAAAAATTGTGATACAAAAGGATGGAATGTGTTATTCTGTAAGTAAATGATTTGAAGTTAGAGTTGGATGATTCATATCATGTGAAGCATTAGGCACATGAACTAACATTATTACAAGAGCATGACATATCAAAACTGCATCAGAGTTTCAAGACAAGAACTATAATATATTCTAAGGTCAATGAACAAATTGTTTAAGTGAGAAATAACAGCAACCAGAATGTACCTAAATCATGTCCAACATTGGGTAATACAAATAAGATTTGCATTTCTCCTTGTTTCCAGTCATTATTACGCTACCACTACAGTTTTTGAAACTCACTGCCGCCCCAGATGGATAATTGAAAAAATGAGCTAGGACTAATTTATATATACACACTACTAGAACTCAACACTAAATCTCTATCAAAGACGTATGAAATTTGAGAACGAACATATACACAAAAGCAAAGAAGAAGGGTGCTGTCTGACGCACATCAAAAGGAGATTTATCATCGCCAACATTGAAATTTGCAGATGCGCGAAGGGCCTTAGTTTTCTCATCAACTTCATCCAATGAGTATGCTGCAATAAACAGACATCTTTATACAACCTCTTTGACCAAACATACATAAGTAACTAGAATATTATTAGTATATTGTCCATAAAACTGGTATTTAAAAAGCAAGAGGATATTTTCATCTTGTTGCTGAAATTCCGAAACTAAGACTATCCAGTCAAGCAACATCCACAATCAGTTCTCATACAACTACACTCCTGTTTGTATGTGCTCTAGGAAAAAATAGATATAGGAAAGTACCGCAATATATAAATAGCAATAGAAACTTAAGCAATCAATGACAGAATCTCAAAACAGCTATCGCATTTCTACACTAATGCATCAGCTAAGGTGAAAGGCCATAACAAGAGAACATCAATTCCCCCAACTAAACCCTAAAAAATAAAGAGCTAATCTGTATTAAGTTGACAAAGACAATCTGTATCTAGGCAGTTCTTATACAAGTCACTATTTACAGCACTAAGAAAATCAAGAGTAACTTTTGAAATTTCAGTCATTAGTCATGTACAATTTCATCACGTGGACAAACCCTGCCTCAAAGATCAAAAATATTTTAAGGAATACAGAAAGTAACTCATATACAACACAAAACATTCCAAGATTTCATAAACACACAGCAAGAAAAACAAAGGAATAAATAAGAGATGACTCATAAGAATAACAAGCACACGTATATGAACCAGAAAAGCAGGAAAAGAGTGCCAACTTCAAATTCAGGAAGCACAGAAACTCAAATCATTTAATATTAATTTTCAACCACATAGGTGCATAATCTTTAAAATCTTTTAAAAATCATTTATCAAATAGGAACCCATTAAATCATTTATAGGTCCAATAACATCCACATTCGGCCAATGATTTTATAACCTATTTGTAAACCCGCCTTCAAAATATAGAACAACAAAGAATCACCCATATGGTCATCCATCCATGTTGCCAACAATGTGAAATTCTGATAAGTACATAGTTACAGTACGTATACACTTGAATTTCAAACGTCAAAGATATATATTTACCCACTCCACTGGAAAAATCAGAACTATCGTTATCAATTTGGTAAGGGCAACACAAAATAATGACAAAGGTAAGTACTAAGTACCGTAGGTAGCATAGCCTGCAGTAGCAGCACCACCTGTGATGGCAGCAACGAGACCGTACTTGAGAAAGTTCCATGAACTTTTATCTACCTCTGAAGCCGGCGGCGGAGGCGGCGGACCCGCTGGCGGTGGCGGTGGCTGATCACCGAGAATAGAGGAGGATATGATTGCTTCTTTCGGTGGTTCTGAGCTGACGGCCGAGGAAAATCTACGATTATTCCTCGAGACGATTGAGAGCAGACGCGAGCCAGATCGAGCTAATGCGCACATGATCACTTTTTCTCCGGAAGCTATTAGGGTTTTAGGATTGCAGAGAGTGGGGGCCTGGGGTTTTGAACAGGGTTTTTTGAGGAGAGAAATGGTGAGACCCAAAAATGGCTGCTGGTGTTTGTTAAATGGCAAGTATACAATTAGAGGTGGTCAAGTGGCCGGTTTAGTGAACCGGCACCCAGGGTCCGGGCAATTCGGTTCATTTAAAAATAAAAATAATAAAAAAATAAAAAAAGACAAAACAACCGACTTCGTTTTCAGTTCCGATTCTGAATCGCCCTGTAGTGCAAAAAAATTACAAATATGTGGCCCTAAAACGACCCGGTCAAACCACGGGCTCAATTAAAGTCTGGTTGACTACCGGGCGGGTCAACTCTGGTTGAGAGCTAGCAAATTGAACTTAGCTAGAAGTTCGACTAGTGAAGGGGTAGTCACAACCCGAAGGTCGTGTAACAGAGGTTGTGTATCGACTTAGTTGTCGGGTACGATGAAGAAAGTTGATCGATGTGCATACTCGAATATCTAAGAATTTAATCTTAAGCGTTGCAGATCAAAAGTTACGATTAAAATCTTACGATTTAAAACTTTTATGTCGATGTTGAGTTGAAGTAACAGTCTACGGTACTGCGTAAGCGGACAACCTTGATCACGTTCTTCTATTGTACTTTTGAATACCACTTTGAATCGTCTGGTGGGTGAGACATTCGAAGTCTCCCCATGAATCTCACTTGATAAAATTCTTTGAAAAGCAGGAGGAGGATCTTGTATATGGAACACTATCTCTCTCTCTCTCTCTCTTTGCCTAAAGTCTCTCTCTTATCTCTCTTGTGTGTGTTGGTAAAAATTTGAGGAGAATTCACTTGTGAAAGTTTAGGGAAATTTGTATATTTATAGGCTGTAGTGTGTGTTGGCCGAAAATTTGAGGAGAATTCACTTGTGAAAGTTTAGGGAAATTGGGCTGTAGCAGGGACCAATATGAGGTGCTAAAATAGGACTTCACAGGATTAAATAATATAGGTTCTGGTTCATCTACACCTAATCGTAGTATTTCATTCTACTAAAGAAATATTATTAAACTTTATTTTTTAGCTCCCAAATTATACATTTGGCTTTGTTTATTCACTCGGTTTATCTCTTCGCGTTTAAGATATAATTTCCGTTAATTAATATAATTACTGACACTTTAACTAGTTAACTTATTGATTATGAAATTAATACCACTCAACCATATTATTATGCCATAAATTAATCTATCGGCAGGATTTCGAGCATATCATTAACCCAACTAGGGGTGTGCAAAATTTGACTAAAACCGACCGAACCGACTTTTTGTTCGACTCGGTCGGTAGTCGGTTTTCAGTTTGCTATTGTTCGGTTATTTCGGTCGGTGTCGATTTTCGGACATAAAATGTCCGAAATAACCGAACCGACTGAATAACATATATATATCATATTATATATTATAATAATGTTATATTTTAGTACAAATATAAAATAACATAACCCTAGGCCCTAAGTACAGTATCCTTCGCATCAGAAACGAGATATCTTCCCCAAATCCTCTGCCGCAGTCCTCAATTCCTCCGCCCCTACACCCCTTGCCGATGCTTCTCCTCCGCTGCTCCTCCGCCGCTGCTCCTCCGCCTATGCTCTTAAATCGCCCCAATCCAAACCATCCCCTGAATCGCCCGCTCAGTAAAAAATCATCCCCTCGTCTCTGCGTCTATGTGTAGTTCGGTCTTCGATCCGGCAAGGAGCTCGTGGTCACTGGTCTTCGACTCGCCAGGCACACGGTTGCACTTGTTTACCGTCATGGGCGAAAGTCTCCCCGATTTTTTCTCTCCCTCCCAAAATCTCAATTTTATGATATTTTTTTAGCTTCGTATCTTGTTTCTTGTTATGCTGGCTTGTGCAGAGAACTCTTTCTGGTTGCTTATGCTAGAAACTTTTTGTTGTTCCCATTGAATTGCCTTTTACAATCTCTTTATATTCAGTGGATCTGATGCTTACTGTTTAATATAGTTTATGAGAACCACTTGTTCTTCTACAAGGTAAGAGCATCTCCAATGGCCTTTGGATTGTCCTATCTTGTTGCCATATGGCACAAAAAATCTTATGTGGCCTAAAAAAATTCTAGAAGTCTTTCTAGATGTAGAAGTACTTCTAGACAACTTCTATTACATATTATATTACATATTCGGTTTTTTTTATTTTTTTTTCAACCAATTATAAATTTACACATGTCATAATAAACCATCTTAAACATAATCCATTGGAGACACAATTTTTTAATCTCCTTTCTACATGCTATGGAACTCAAAATGGACAACTTCCCATTGGAGATGCTCTAAAGAGTGTTGTAAGTTTTTTTTTTTTTTT